CGCTGCCACTTTATACACGCCGGCATGTTAGTACATTCAAACAAGTGTGAATTGCCGCAACCCACAAAGACGCACTTATTGGTTTTCATTCATTTGAAGATGTTGGGAGTTTTATAGGTAAGTGGAACATTTTCTGGGTGTGCATATTTTATCATTACCGCACATTACGTCTTAATGGTTTTAAACGACTTTTACAAGTTGGTTCTTCCATTATTTTATTGCATTAAGGATAAGGTTTAATCTGCCTATATTTCGAATTCACAAACCCCCCCCCGCATGCTAATGACATTTTAAAATAAAATCTTTCCGTTTCACATCTTATTTTACAGCAGCGATCAAACCGAGTTCCTCCGGCGCCGACAGCCAACAACTATTCCACTTGTCAATGTAGACTGACCCGGGGGTGCTGCTGCTCCTCCTCCGATCGGAACGCTGTCCTCCGCGTATGCAAAAAGAAACAAACAACAGAAAGTGTGCCCACTCCGAGTACCACTGATTATTTAAAGGAGAACTACGAGGCGAGTGAAAATCTGAGCCGACCTGTGACAATGAGACTGTAGCTCCCGGTATACTGAGCTTTGGGTGACGGGAGGACGCTAGTTAGCCCGGTCAGCTGACTGCTTACATGTTTGACTGACTGGTGAGACGCCCTAACATTGTTCCCGCCCTGGTTATTATTATAGCGCGCAGCGCAGGCGGTAATGTAGATTTTGGGGATGAAATGCTGATGCTGCCGAACGATATGATAAAGAAATAAAAATTATACAAATTATATTATACGCATACAGGGCTGTAGCTACCATGGGGCGAGTGAGGCACTCGCCTCAGGTGCGGCTGAGAGGGGGCGCAGCCTGACTGTGCCCCCTCGCCCCTGTTGCCGTGGCGAGCACAGGGCGCCATTGGCAAAGGGGACGCCAGGCGGCCAATACAGCCGCGGCTCGGCAGGGAGAAGAGGAGCGGCACAGGCTCCAGCTTCTCCTCGGATCCCCGCTACTCTCCCCC